AATCCAAAATATGTCAGGCATGGTCTGCAGCTCTCTGTGAATTCAAGGCCATCCTGGTCTACAAAGTGAGTCAGACAGCCAAGGCTAAACAGAGAAACCCTGTCTCGAAAAACTAAAAAACAAAACTAAACAAAAAAATCCAAAATATTCTTACTTTGAGAAGATTTGAAACTCTGCTATAAATCCCACCAAAATTAATAAGCTTGTTGCCTAGGAAAGAAAACAATAAAATCAATAAAGTATTACTTTAGCTTTCATTTCCTTAATGAGTTAAAAACAAATACATTCACTTAAGTATGGATTTGTGAGTTGGGAGAATATAAGCGAAAGAACCATATAAAAGATAAATGACTTTTCTTTTTAAGTTTGTGTTTTAAATAGAAGCTTAAATGTTCTTCAAAAAAAAAAAACTTAAAAATAGAACTACCATATGATCTTGCAATCCCACTACTGGCTATATATCCCAATGAAATGGGTATGCCAAAAAAGATATCTCCACACCCATACTTATTGCACGGTTAGTCACAATAGCTAAGACAATGAATCTTACAGCATTCATCATTAGATGAAAGAATTAAGAAAAAGTAGCTAGAGGAGATAAGAAATGTAGCTCACTTTGCTCACCTAATTTGCATAAAACTGTAGTTTACCCAGTTTAGGATGGAGAGGACAAAAACACACAATGGGATGCCATTGAGCCTTAAGAGAAAAAAAAAAAAAAAAAAACTTCTGGTTTGTAACAACACAAGTTGTTACAATACAAGGAACAATACAAGTTCCTTGTATGAATTTAGAAGGTATTGTGTTAAATAAAATAAGCCAAGCTCAAAAAGAGAGATACCACAGAATAAAATTCCCTTATAAATGTTATCTCAAAGTACTGAACTCACAGGCGTAAAAAGGAGAATGAACAAGAACTGATTGTGGGGTACCGAATGCAACCTCTCCACCTAAGGCTCAGGGAACATGGTAGGAGAGGTGGCAGAAAGACTGAAGGGACTGAAGAGGGAGATGAAACCTGCTCTAAGGTAGGGGAATTGCACCTGTGAGATCTCAAAACTCTGCTTGCCTAAGCAAGTGCAAAATGCTGACATGGCTAGAGGAATCTCACAAGACCCTAAACCTAGAAGAGAAGCAATAAACAATCGATGGCTGCTGAGAAAAGGAGAATCAGTTTTACATGAATCTCATAAGTTATCCAATGCTGAGTGGTCAGCAGTGAACACATGTACATGAGAAGAACAGTAAATGGAATCAGCAGATTTTATTATACATGTGTGTATGCATGTGCACGTGTGTGTGTGTGTGTGTGTGTGTGACATGCTACACAGGGCATTTGTAGATGAATAAGGGACAGAGGTAAACACTTTGTAACTGAAAGAAAAAAGTTCAAACATGAATATCTAGGAAGGACAATGGAATACTCTGAATAAAACAATATTGAAAAGACCATTTACAGGTAATCCTGGATTGTAGAAATGGAGAAAAAAAAAAAAAACTAAGCATCAACATTTATTCACTGATTTATTCTGACCACAGATGTCACCTGACCAGCTGTGGCCACCTTGGCTCTCCCCACAAAGGACTGCATCTTGCACTGGGAGCTAAAATACACCCTTCCTTCCTTAAGTCACTTTTGTCAGGGTACTTTTAAACAGAAAACTAAGACAGTCCCTAAAGTGGGAGCAATTTGTCTTCCTGCCCTTTAGAAAGAGAACAATACACATGAAAAATAGAGCAGTCTTGTGCACGAGCTGACTATAAATAATCAGTTTAGAATTCACCACATTAAAAAAGAAAGAAAGAAAGAAAGAAAGAAAGAAAGAAAGAAAGAAAGAAAGAAAGAAAGAAAGAAAGAAAGAAAGAAAAATAGGGAACGAACTGTGTCCGTGACACTCAGCTGGACTTACAGAACCCTCAGTTCGCTTCTCTATTTTTCATCCCCAAATGAACACTGGCTCTGCCTGGCTCTCCTAATATATTCTGGCTCACTTGCTGATCTGAGACATTGCTGGGCCTGACATGGACCGTTCCCTACTTTTACTGATTCTGGGCTGAGCTCAGCCCTAAGAGGGCAGATTACATGGCAGGCCTGTAAGTACCTCAGAGGGAAGCTCCTGGGCTCTGAAGCCATCTTCAACAGCTCAGTCCCAAGTCATCTCCTAGTCAAGTGACACTCAGAGAGCCAAGGGGAATTCTGGAGCCTTTCTCCTGAGTTTAGCTAACATGAATGGAGAAGGAGGTCAATGCCAGACATGGAAATCACTTTTGCTATTTGATAGCTCAAGCTTTCCCTTGACTTCCTTGTCGGAAGCACATCACAAAAGCATGTCTTTCATGGATGTAAACATCATCTGCTTTTAGACAGATGATGCAGAGTTGATATTTAAGTTTATGCAGAAACTTTGCATACAGCTTGGTGTAAAACCATTGCTTCATTTGTTGACATCCTACCAGCCAATTTGAATTTTAAGAAAAATTTACTTTTAAGGGAAAAAAAGTGTATTTTCATGACATTAAAATGTCATAAATCAATGACTATGAAACACATATTAAACATAAAACAATTATTAAGATGTCTTGTCATAAAATAAAGAAGGAAATTGATTGACAGTTAACACAAGTGTTGGGAAAAACAGGTTAGACAGGGGACTTTAGCGAGCATATTATATTCCTTTCTTAACTAACAAGGGTTCTAAATTGTTAAATGAACCTACAAGACACAGTAAAAAAAAATACCAAATTAGACTGTAAATCTAGATTTATAAGCTTCCTTCATGTTGTAGCATTGTAGCCTTAAATGCATCAACTGCAATTTTATGTTCAACTTTTAACTATTTAATTCAATAGTTACTTAATACTACATCTTGGTCCTTCTCCAGCCTCACCAGTGAGCGTGGATTCTGTACGAGTGGCCAGCACAGTGACTGCGGGGCAACCCCACAGCTAGCTGCCAGAGTGGCAGAATCGTTCCTGCTGTAAGATAACACAGCATTTTTATCTTAAATATCAACTCTGCAGTAATAATGCTGTGTCTGGAAAGAGGGCTCAATTAATAATGCACTGGTTATGAAAGTGTAAGGATCTGTGTTTGATCCTCAGCATCTGCAGGAGACGTGCTGACACTCATGCACACAGATAAACACTAGGAAAAGAAAAAGAAAACAGGAATGTTAAACACATAAGATTGTCTTTTCAAAAAGAGAGATGTATAATCTGTTTTCTACCCAGAAGGCTGGGAATGGATATGGTGAAGAGCCTGACCCTTATCTAGAGCCTGTTTACCTCCCCCAATCTACAGCACTATTCTCCCCTAGACCCTAACCATAAGCATTGTTTACCTTTGGCCTGCTTTCTTAGAACATATCTTATAGAAGATGTCACTTGTACTTTAAGAGAATTCAAAGTAATCATGTCTTAACCACACAAAGTTGAGTTAATTATCACCAGGGAACTATTTTCCAAATTGTGCTATGTTTAAATATGCCTAAAATAAACTACCCAGTATCAGATTCTCAAAGTTAGAACCAACATCAGCTACTGAGTTGTGTTGAACCGAATTTCCTTCTTGCCTCCCCTGGATTGACATACTGATGGCCACGGTGTTTGTAGAGACTCCCCCACCCTCACCCCACAGGACACATTCACTCAAGAATCCACACAAAAAGCCAAGCACAGCAATAGATACCTATGATCCCAGTACTAGGGAGGCAGAGACAGGAGGCTGCCTGGGGTTTTCTTTTTTTCTTCTTCTTATTTTTTTTCTGTAGATCAGGAAACTTATTTATTTTTCTTTTTCTTATTAAATTTTTATTTTGTCATATATTAATTACATTTTATTCACTTAGTATCCCAGCTGTAGCCCCCCCTTCATCCCTTCCCAATCCCACCCTCCCTTCCTCATCTCATCCCATGACCCTCTCCAAGTCCACTGATAGGGGAGGTCCTCCTCCCCTTCCATCTGACCTTAGCTTATCAGGTCTCATCAGACTCACTGCATTGTCCTCTTCTTTCTAATCAGGCAGTTTAACCATCCTGGTAAGTTCCAGGTTCAATTATCTCAGAAAAAGAAAGGAAGGGCCTGGGTGGTAGGTAGGCATGCCATTAATCCCAGCACTCAGGAGGCACAGGGAAGCAGATTTCTGTGACTTCAGAGCCAGCCTGGTCTACAGAGCACATTCCAGGATAGACAGGGCTGAGGAAGATACCCTCTGCCCTACACACATACATGTGAACACACAAATTACCATAGCAATTATAATAACAAATAATAATAGCAATTCCAACTTGGTTTTCCATGCTCGAATTTCATCCTATAATAATGACTGCTATCTTTGGTCTTTGGTTGCATAGTGACTTTTAAAAATATTTGTTTGGTTCATTTTAGTCTACTGTGTGTGTTTGATAAATCCATAAACCCATAGCTTCATTGTATGTACTTATATTGGCTACCCTCCCAGTCTTGGCCCTTTCACCCAAGATTCTGAATTCTAGGCTACAAATTCAGCTTTCTACCGAACTCTCATAGCATGCAGTCAGGACTGCACTGTATGTCCCAAAATTAAAATAAATAATCAAACTGGAGAAAACGTTTGCCTTAAAAGTAACAATAGCCTTATTGTAGTTCTTTACTGTTTTCTCAGTACTTCCATAAACATCTCTTTGAATTCTTTTTTTCTCAGCCCTTTCAGGTTACAATTCGGCTGCAAAATAAGAAAAAAATGATTCACTTTGGCTGAACTATTAAGAATTTACTTAGATAAGAATGAATTTTAAAGTCACTCCTAGACCTTTTTCCTCTGTGTCTTCCACATCTTTCTCTTCATTTGACTTCTTCCATTTAAGGATGTCTTTCCCCTTTGAGATACCTTGAAGTATGTAAGTCATAAGTTATTATCTTACCTGCATGCCTGGGAAAACTCAGGGCAGAGAAGAACTAGAAAATTTCCTCTGTAAAGACAGTCAGGCCTTTGTCTCCCCACAGCCTCTCCCACCCCAGATTCCTTTTCCACTCATTTATAAAGCCAGCTGGCCTAATATTTAGCCAGATTCTCCCGGGACAGAGAGAGCCTGGCTCTGTTCTTGATCTGTGCCTTGAAGCCAGATGTATTTTGTCAGTTATACAGACCCTTGCTGCAGCCAGCTGGGACCATTTCGAAGTTACAGATATGTTTCTGGGAAATGTATCTGCTAATCAGGAAAGACGGTAAATGTCTTCAGTTCAGTATTTAAGTGATTTCCAACCAAAGAAGACTTTGTAAAGCAAGGGCTAAACTTCCTTGCTATTTTAATCAACTAATCTGAGTGCATGCTTTCATGATTCTCTTAAGGGGTGTTATAAAGTGGATATTGAGATGGCTTTGTGAAAGGAGAGTTCTTCATCAATTTTCTGTTTTTATAACAAGATACTTGGGACTGAGACCTTTATTTGGTTTTGTTTTTTTAAGATTTATTTACTTATATATACGATGTTCTATCTGCATGTGCACCTCCATACCAGCAGAGAGAACCAGCTCTCATTACAGATGGCTGTGAGCCACCATGTGATTGCTGGGAATTGAACTCAGGACTTCATAAGAGCAGCCAGTGCTCTTAACCCTGGAGCCATCTCTACAGCTTGACTGAGACCTTTAAACTATAGAAGTGTATTCGTCTCATAGTTCTGAAAACTAGGAAATCCTTTTCTTAAGAGGTATTTTATTTCGTGTGTATGAATGTTGGCATGCATGTATGTATGGGTGCCATGTGTATGCCTGGTGCCCTCAAAGGTCAGAGGAGGTCATTAGGTTCCCTTGAGCTAGAGTTAGGGGTGGTTGTGAGGCACCATGTGGGTGCTGGCAACTGAACCCAGGTCCTCTGCAAGAGTAGCAAGTACTCTTAATTGCTGAGCCATCTCTCCAACTCTTATTCCACTTGCTGAAGAAGCAGACTTATAAAATATGTCACCGCAATTTCAGCTGTGATGTAGAAATCACCATTTCCTTTGAAAGGTCCTGAAAGGAGTGTTAAGTATATTTAATCCCTGGCAACACCTGAGACAGAAGAAAAGAAAATGGGAAATGTCACATCTTTCTGAGTTAAGATTCTGAAGGGCAAACAGGCTTAACAGAACCACATACCAGCACATTAGCAGCCACACAGAGGGTAGAATCCTGGGAAGGAAAAATACATTATCTCATTGAATGGATAAACATTCCTCCCATCTCTTCAGCCTGGTGTTAGGAGAATCTACCTTCCTAAGCCAGGTGATTGGTGAGCCCAAATGTCAGGTTTCCACCCAGGCTACAGATTTCATTCTCTTGACCAAAAGGAAACAGCTTTCCCTTAATGGACCTTTGATGCTAGCTAAATGTCACATGAATGTTTGTCTGTTTGGAATTCCAACACTGGAACCATTAGGACCAGAGCTTAAACTGTAGATGGGGTCTGCACTGTTGGCAGTCTGGCTACCAGCATAAGCTTTGTGGACTTTTTCAAAGGGCAGTTGGAAACTACTGCAGAAAAGCTTTTAAGGAAGAACTGAAACTGTGAGTCAAGATGAATCAAATGGTGACGATGTGTATGTGAAGGGAAGGAATTGAAAGCACAACTTAGAATTTTTAAGTTTAAAAAAAAAAAAAAAGGAGGGCTGGAGAGATGGCTCAGAGGTTAAGAGCACTTACTTACTTTCTCTTCCAGAGGTCCTGCAATTCCCAGCAACCACAAGGTGGCTCACAACCATCTACAATGAAACCTGGTGCCCTCTTCCAGGTGTACATGCAGGCAGCACACGCATACACATAATAAAAGAGAGAGAGAGACAGTCAAAGCCTTAAGGAGATAGACAGTCTAGAAAGAGTCTCATGATTAGTGATTAAACAGGATTTCAAGTCTGAACTCTGAGAAGTGCAACAAACTCAACAGACTAATGAGGAAGGAAACAGCAATTCAAGGAGGAAGGAATGATTTTAAAGAGGGGCATTTGCGCTCTGGGAAAATATCCAGTACATTCCTGCAAGTGTCTCCAGGAAGACTGAGGTCAACCCATTTATGTGGGTAGAGCTACTGGTGTGAAAAAGCACAGCTGGAATCATGGAATGCCCTGGCATTTTAATTCTTAATGAGGCATAAGCCACAAGAAATATCCCATTTGGGGAGCAAGAAATAAAAATCACCAAAAAGAAACACACACAAGAGAAAGAGATCATAGAAGTAACTGAACAGAAAGAAGTAGAAGGAAACGATGCCATCAAGCCAGTTCAGGGAAGCATTGAAAAATGGAGGTCAGAGGAAAGGGACACCAAAGGAACAACAAGCTGCCTCATAACTGCACATTTGTTGGTAAATTTAAGGCAGTATTTACCTTTTTTTTTTTTTTTTTTTTTTTGCCACTGGATTCTAGCTTTAAAAACAAAAACGTAATTTGTGGCTGAGTGAGAGTATAAGTATATAAACAGAGTTGAGTTGGGAAGCTTCCAAGACCCCGACTTTAGGGGCCTGGCGATGTCATACTTTGTTCTCTGAGGACGAAGCATTCTCATGTGGAATGGGAAATGTTAGGCAGCATTTTTGGCCCTGTAGAGATGCCAGCAGGTACTGCCCTGATCATGACAGTCAAAATGTCTCCTGGTACCAAATGTCCCCTGGGGCAAAACGCCCATCACATCCTTCTATCTAGAATCACTGCTACCCCACCTATTCCCAGAACACGTCCAGGTTCCTGTTCACGGTGCACCGGAAAGTATGTGTTCTGAAAGTCTTGCAGAAAGCAATACCTTCGTTGAACTTCTTTAGCCCAGAACTTCCCAAGTTCACTCGACATCCCCCACACTCGTGCTTCAAACAAGATTAGTGCATATGAGTTGTTTTTTTTTATAAATAGCATCTGAACCAAAATGAATCAGTAAAAAGGAAGAACAGTTTTTGCCAGACCATGGAGGGATCAGCAAGAGGCCAGCCCCTCCTTATCTCTGTCAACCGAAAGCCCTTTTCCATTTCTACGCAGTTCTCTGGGACCTGACAACAAGCAGCACTTGTGGGGAAACTTTCAGGTCGCTGGTGATATCAGGACTCGTTTTGTTCTACCACAAGTACCTGCATGGACCCTGTGTGTGCGTGCATGCGTGCGTGCGTGTTCTTTTTGAAGAAAATGGTTTGGCATGCCTGTTTAATTTGCTAATTGCTTTATTGAATTGGGAACCAAACTGGAACAATTCAATGCTAACAGATCCAACAGCCTCTGGGAGTTTGAGAAGAGCAAACTTACTTGGAAAGAGGAAAGCTCCCCTTCCCCCGCCCCTTTCTCTTTTGCCCTGAGAATGTTAGGTCAGAACTGAATTTGCCAGGAAGTGGGGAGAAGAAGCAACAGCATCCTCTAGTGGCATGAGGCTTCAGGTCCTAGTAAAACAGTAGACTCTTCCTAAACTCCCGAGTAGGAGCTTGTTAGACTAATAAGTACTCCGGGTAGTATCTTTTCCTCATTAAAGTGTCACTGTGTTTGAGAATGGTAAATGGCTGCCAGGCAAAGCTTATCCAAAGGAAGGTTTCAGCAAAATGATGTTAAACGTTTTACCAGAGCACCTAGTAAGAGGCTGTGCCTGTTGCTAGTAGCACTGCACTAAATACTGACACGTGGGCTAAGCGAGCTCCTGAGACCAGTTGTCTTAACCTCTTCTTTTGCATGAGAATGTTGCTTAAAGTTAAGATACGTGAAACATATTTACAGTGCTTTTCGCTTCCCTGTGGACAGAAGTCTACGCTAGACAAGCTGCCAGAATCTATGCATTTGGCAAAGGTCAAATTGCAATCAGGAGGTAATGTTTTGTCACTTACTAAATTTAGGAGACAACCTGGATTTGTTTGGGTTTCTGAATGCTGTTAGGAATGTTGTTGTTGCTATCTGCAGCGCGCTGTGGCAGTTGCCTGCAAGTCGGAGATACATTTCTTCCGGGTTAAATTTGAGTTAAGTGAAACAGTTCTGAGAAGAATGATGCAAGCTACACAATTGTCTGTGGCTCTAGGAGGACACTGCATAAAGTCAAGCAGAGGCCATGTGCCAGACGACAAGTTTCATGTATACTTAAATTTTATGTTGCCTAAGGAAAGGTTTGGGGGAGGGAGGGAGAGTTCATTCTGTAAAATTCTTAAAAAAAAAAAAAAATCAGTCACTTCCAGAAAATGATAATCTCATAACTTTAAGCTTTATCTCTTCAAACTGTTTTTAAATCCTTAATATCACATATATTCAGCAGCAGCAGCAGCATGATGTTTTAAATCCTTAATATCATATATATTCTTCTTACTCTTATTCTTATTCTTCTTCATCATCATCATCATCATATATTCTACAGGCTAGAAAGGAAAGAAAAAATAAAGGTGTAAAATCCTTAATTGTAAAACCTTTTTAAATGTCATTTATTTATTTTATGTGTATGAATATTTTGTCTTCATAAACACTTTGTGCACCATGCATGTGCCTGGTGCCCAAGGAGGCCAGAAGAGAGCATTGGGTCCCCTGGACCTGGAGTTACAAACAGTTGTGAGCTGCCATGTGGTTCTGGGAATCAAACTCAGGTCCTCCGGAATTACAGCCATTGTCCTCACTCACCAAGCCATCTCTCCAACTCCATACACTCTCTTTAAGTGCTTGTGGAGAAAGTTATATTAGAAGTCAATGAAATGCCACCACAAACACACTCTCAGAGGTTACTCCTTAAGGGCAGGAATGTCACTGACCACAAAAGAACGTTCCGCTTTGTGTTTAAGTGATACAGATATGTGCTCTGAACACAGTCTGCACTCAAAAGCTTTTCAAGGGCAGAGAATGAAACCCAGGGCCTCATAGATGGTAGTTAAGCACTCTGCCACTGAGCTATGTTCACAGCTAGATTCATATCTTGGGCAAGCTGCTCAGCACACCCCTCCCTACCTCTACCCATCCCCACCTATGTGTTTGTTTTATTTATTTGTTGTGTTTGGTTTTTATCTGAAAAGTATAATTGTGTCTAACTCATAGGATTGT